CTTGATTCAATCACGCTGCTCGTTTGGTCAGGGCCTTGTATTTGACGATGGTACAAATCTTCCCATGCCGCCATTCAATGGACGGCCTTTCCAAGTTGTGCAGAATGCACAGCTGTTGGCCGTCAATAACTCATGTCCTTATGGTATCTACAAGAAGCTCAATACCGATTCAAGCTTCTGTCCAGAGAAGAGAGACATTCTCGGATCATGGAGCTGCAACATAGCCAACGACCAGACACCGCAGAGCTGGCCATCTGGAACGAACTCTTCAGATATCGCTCGAGACATGAATCAGAAGGGACTGATATATGACAATGGATACGTCGAGCAAACCCAATGGTCCTCCGGATTCGTTAACCATGTCGTTATCTGGAGCACGTCTGCAACTCTCGACAGCGACGGGTCTTTATGGTCTGTCAAAGCAGCCGTCGAAACAACATACAAGTCAGAGGATGATATCCAGCTCACTCCAATAACTTGCTCCGTCTCGGCATCAGGTGCAGAGCAAACCATCAAAGACATGGCATCTGGAACAACTCTAAAAGAATGGGTCCCAACTTTTCAGGGTTTGATGTACAACGGCTTCAACACCTCCGCTATCCAGGACGTACAAGATGGACTGGCGATACTTTTGAATACAATGACTATGATATCCGGCGGAAACAACTATCTTCTTGCTGAGCCAGGAGCAGGCCAAGACAAGACCCAGGGATGTCTCGCAAGAGCGGCGTACGTCCCGACAGTTATGGTGGTCATCTTCCTTGCTGTGGCAGGTCTTGGTGTCACAGCATGCGTTGCATGGTGCATAACCTCAGTCCGTCTATTCCGATCCCCATCTGAGTTGGAGGCACTCCCTCTGAGCGCTGAAGAGTGGGCAACGTTTGCGGCAAGAGAATACCTCAGTACTGCGAACAACAATCACGATGTTGTCGTGGCACCAGTGGAGGCATATGAGTTAAAGAGCTTCAGCGTCGGATTCTCTCAGCCTAATATTGGAAGAATAGGCATGTTCCAGACAAGGCAAGGGAATCTTTTGAATCAGTGAAGTTTTCGAAGCAATGAAATTCCTTTGAATCAACTATATATGTCCTTATGTTTACTTCTTTCGTGTTTGCATAGTACTAACGAATGCTGGATATCTATACCCCATACAGCTTACACCTCCACCCAACTGCATTGCATCGCAACGGAACCAAACTCCACTTCATTCATTATTCCCGCAGACTTGTTGGTTCTCGTACTTGGAATAATTTATAAGCAGATAAAAAACTACTTATTTCCGACTTGTTCTGCTACATTGTTGTATGTCTAAATAATCTCAGCATACTAACCGGTAGCTCCAACGTCTGAGACTGATCACCACGACCTAGCTCAACACGATGCCTCCCACACTACTATGGATTGGACTCGGGAACATGGGGAGGGTAAGACTCATGTTGCTATTTTAGAAAACCAAGGAATGAAAACTAAATGGTGACAGGGAATGAGCAAGAACATCGTTGAGAAGGGCAACTTGGACGGTCCCCTTCTCTTGTACAACCGTTCATCTCAGAGGGCCACTGACTTCAGTGCCAAGTTCCCGGCCGGCAAGACTGAGGTCGTTGAGTCACTCGCCGACGGCGTCTCGAGAGCCGATGTCATCTTCTCCTGCGTTGCCAACGACGAAGCCGTTCAAGAAACCTTCAAGGCGATACTTGAGGAAAACGTCAAGGATAAGCTATTCATCGAGAGCTCAACAATCCACCCAGAAACCACCGATGCCATTGCAAATGACGTTGTGGCCAAAGGAGCCGAGTTCGTCGCTGCTCCTGTATTCGGTGCTCCTCAAATGGCTGAGGCTGGTCAGCTCATTGGTGTTCTTGCTGGACCTGCTGCCAGCGTTGCAAGGGCAAAGCCGTGGTTCAAGGGCGTAACTTCCAGCAAGGAGATTGATCTCTCGGATAAGCCTTACAGCAAAGCCTTAACTCTGAAGGTCCTTGGAAACACATTTATCCTGAACATGGCCGAGCAACTCGCTGAGGCGCACGTTGTGGCCGAGAAGACAGGTCTGGGCACTGAGGCCATTCATCAGATCGTCGACTCAATCTTCGGTGGGCCTTACGCTGCCTATAGCCAGCGTATGCTCACTGGCGACTACTATAACCGTGATGAGCCTCTTTTTGCAGTTGAGCTCGCCCGAAAGGATGCTCGACATGCTATGAGCTTGGCCGAATCTGTTGGTGTGAGACTTCGAAATGTTGAGGCTGCTGATGCGCATTTGGCGATGGCTTATGAACATGTGGGCTCATCGGCAGACATGGCTGGAATCTACGGGGCTATTCGAAAGGAATCTGGTCTCAAGTACGAGAATAATGCTTAGATGTTTGCGTATGTGAAGCTTTGGAAATACCGACAACCTATCAAGAAAGCATTGTATATACAAACACTCTTAACTATATGTCCGCGTACGCTTGGTAGTATCATATAGACATCGATTCGATACTATTTACTTAAGAAGATATATTTATTGAGTAAGTCATTATTAGAATTCAAGTCCAACGTCGACTGCCTGTGTAGGGTAGCTAGCTTGGCGTTCCCGCTGACTCAGCCTGGACCTTGCGGGAGTGATGCAACCAATCCAGCTACAAGCTCTCAATCATCGAATACACCAACCATTAAGCAAGCTCCCGTATCCCGAACTCAACCCAACCTCTTCAATCACACGCTTTCTCCGATCGTTATTTCCCTGCCGGCAGGATCAGACCCGAAGCACAACCTCAATCATGGCTCAAGGGTACGCAACGACGCAATCCCTCCCCTGTAAACGACGCGTGTAAGGTCTAACCAGAGCGCAGATACGCCGTCTTTATCGGCCTCGTTGTCATTGCCGCCCTGTGCGTGGCATCGTGGTTCCTTGCTCCCAAGGGCGAAAACCAAGTGTCGGTCTACCAATCCCGTCGATGCGATGCATGCCAGGCCGCTTGCGACAGCACAGCTGACCCTTTCTTCTTACAGACTCTGGCGATCCTCTGCTATCCTGGCCATCGTGAGCTGCTACCTTATGTGGGCGATTACGTTCCTCGCCCAACTTCACCCTCTTATTGCGCCGAGAAAAAGCGGTATCCGAGAAGAGCACCTCCACTAGATACCCGTCTAGAATACATGCCAAGGAAGAGCTGGAAAGATGACGAGGGCTGTTGTGATGGTACGGTTGTAATTTTACATTGTTGGACTTTTGAAACTTGAACTGGTATTGCTTTTTATTACATATGGAGTTGGAACGCCTGTTATACCAAGCCAAAGACGCACTTTGCAGACCATCATTTTGCTTTGGACAATTCCCGTATGATTACTTGGCTTCAGTGATAAATGCCTACCCGACAGCAAGACGGCCTGCCCATTCCTTCGCATACATCAATAACGCCCATAGAGCTTTGCCGTCTGCTGCCACGCCACTTTCACCTATCGAGTCAACGTCGGCAAGGCCAGCAGCGAGCAAAACAGCCCGGCCGACCACCCAGCGTGAAGCCGCCCCTGCGATAGCGAGTAGACATGCTATGGCATAGTTGCAATCAAGTAGAATGCGTAGCGCCTCGACATTGTTGGCCACGACAGCCCAGCCAAGTGATCGAGCTGAGGCGGGAACGTCATAATCCCATATCACCATCAGGATGGGGAATAGCTTCGTGGAGGATGATACTAGAAGAGCTGTAGACACTGAATTGGGTCTTGTGTATTGAGGAAGAATGCCAAGAAGGTTGAGGGGGGAGAAAGCGGACGATGTGAGGAAGCGTATGCTCACATGGAAAGCTGCTGTCGAGAGCGCGCAGAAGATGACTCGGGCAAGAGTTAGTTTATGATCAGAGCTGTCTTGGGAGCCATCTTACGGAAGAAGAGATACTGAAACACAATCGGTTGTTGTGAAAGTTTACCCAAGTTGCTTGCGCCTGGGATGGCAGCAGGCACCATCTGCTTCTCCAATCGTGCCCACGTCAGGTACACATCAAAGAGAAGAAGAAGAGTGCCTAGACGGATAACCGAAGGCTAAGAAGTCATTAGTAAGGTACATATGCCGTACTCTTTATTCATCACTTACATCTAGGCGATCATCATCCCGCATCAATGTATTGTATAGTAAATGCCGATAGACCTACACCTGTTAGTACATGAGAAATCAAAAACACGCATTGAAGGCTCGCCTGAGGTTTGATCAGGACTAAATCGATAAAAAGCACGACAAAGTCATGTTCGACATACTTGTCGCAGAAGCGGCCACAGTTGCGACACACAGTGAGTCGGATATTGTGTCCGCTGGCCTTGTCTCCTGCGCCAGAATATGCTGTCCAGAGCGTCTTGACAGGATGTCTGCATTCGATGCAGATTGGCATATTGCCCCGCTACTAGGTGGCTTAGAAGGAATGACGATTAATCAGTAATTCAACTGGGTGTCGTCTGGCTAGCAGCATATCATGGCCGGGCGGTTATGGATAGTAGTGAGCGAGTCGTGGTGTTTAAAGTACTATAGACGGTGCGAGCCACGAAATTGACAGGTGCTCGGGGATGACGTGGAGATAAGGGCGCTCGCTAACTTGGGATAAATGCCACCCCCTGATTTGATATTCATGAATATTGAAAATTAATGAATACAGCCTATTCCGTAGCTACCTCCCAAGCAGGTGCTTACCGATTGCTTGAGCCACTTATCAACAACTGGCACTCTATTTCTGAATTGTCCAATGTTATTGCTACCTATGATTGATCATAAGCTCAAGATCAACCTAAGTATGTCTAGATGTATATGATATATGCAGTCCTAAAACCTATTAGAGTTTTAGAAACACCCCAAGTTCTTCAAATTTGTTATAACGTATGCAGTACCAAGTATCCTGAAGAATTGCGAATGCCTCCCAACGCCTCGCAGCTTAAGACTAGCTCCAACAAACAACGCCCGCTTGTCCCTGCCCAGGCATATCTACATGATTCTCAGCGATGGATCCATGAAGCTCAAGCTCTGGGGCCTCTCAATCGTCTTTATCACCCTTTGCCACCATTCGTCCTCGAACAGCCCCCTCACCTTCGCTTCGGCTACTGCTCTTAATCTGTAGCGACTCCATGAGGCTGGTCGGTGGTGCCCCGGAAGGACGCCCATCATCACTGCCGGTATCTGTTAATTCTATTAGATCGCCGTTTCGTTCGGGTCTGCTGCCTTCAGGCATCCCTCGTATCCTATCCAGTTGCGAACTTGGCTTGCGTGACAGGGCACCCCTAAGCCACGTCTCTACAGCCGCAGCCGCTTTGTCCAGTCCGTTGCCCTGCTGTGTTGAGCCGATTTCTTGGCCCTCCCCTGATGGGTTCTCAACTATGCTCGACGATTCTCCTGATTTAAATCCAAAATGGGCCGTTTCTGAGCCCATAATAGACATGGAGGGTATTCCCTCCAAGGTGAGCCCAGGTAAGTGCTTCTTGGTCCATGTGGTGAGATAGTCCTTATCCGGACCAGGAGCCCGTGTACTCATACCCATGGAGCCAACACCACCAGGCCGACGCATCCAGGCCGGCAAGGTTTCGCCACCTTCGCTGATCGCACCTCGTCCCGGACTTGACACAACGGTGCCAGAAAGTTGGGGTCGGTGGCCGAGGGAGCTCTGGCGACGAGACGAAGTGCCTGCAGATCCAGGAGGGTTACTGTATAGATCAAGGCTCTGCCGTGGCGTCGAAAAGGTCGAAACAGTCCTAATGCTCTTCTTTCGTCGAGGTGGGAAGTAACCCATAGCGTTTCTCGCAACCCGTGCAACCTCGACTGGTTGAGGAATTGAGTCAATTTTTACCCAACGTACATGTGTCCACGGTCTTTCTTCTTCTTCAGAAGGTTGTGTCGCTGACGGCGTTCCGTTAATTGGCCGGCTAAAGAAGTCATCATGAAGTGCCGATGAGTTCTCTTCCACTGCAGGTGTTGGCGCAAGCAAGTCGACACTATGGGCGTTGTGCCACGAGGGTGGATCGCATGGCCGCCCTCTCACATCGCAGGCATCAACGGGAATTGTCAGCCATTTGCGCACCTGGATACTATCTCGTGTCCAGAGTCCATTGGCCTTCCTGAACGCATCCTCTCGACACTGGTATTTCAAGATTATGCCTGCATATGTATCACTGGATTCAACCTTGTGAATGTAGACCAGGTACTCTTGAGCCTGGGATTGTTCGGGAGTCGATTCGTCGGAATTACGGCGTTTATGATTCCCACTGACATCTAGTCCACCATTGACGCCATCGTGGCTCTCCAGCACCATGGCCCTTCTCGCAGCTTTCAAAGCCGTTTCCCGCTCTGCCAGCGAGCCAGCGCCCACATCATTCAGGTTTGGTTCCTGGGGAGGAGCTGGGCCCCAAGCACCACCTGTCTTCTTCATACTACCACTGCCGGAGAAGTCCCTGCCCCAGGTCCCGGGTCGAGGGCCTGCTCGATTATGGGACTGAGACCTTCTAGCTGCGCCATTGTCACCCGATAGGAGAGAGGAGGTGAAGCCCTGGATCGAAGCCCAGCTTTGCGTTAGCGAATCGTTGAAGAAGTTGCTCAGATTCGCTGCGCTATTCGTGCGATGAGGGGTAACACCTCGTTCTGAGGGTAGAGGACTCGTGGAGCGGCTGTTGGCAGGGCTCAAAGCTGTCAAAAGGCCGTAGCTCCGCGCAGGAGATGGAGAAGCAGCGTTGTCGTGAACATCGAGGTTACGGCCTCGGCGGGAGCGGCTGGCTTCTCGGGAAGTCGCAGTGTCACTATCGTCGTCGAAGGCGCTAGCAAGACGCCGGTTTCGTGGGCGAATAGAGGTAGAATCCGATGTGTTGGCGGGTGCCAGGGCTGATGAGGACCGTTGCGGCGAGGGCCGCACAGAGCGTCTCGGTTCGGTCATGATAGTCGCCAACTCGGCGACGATGGGCGCTCTCGGATTGTGCTGTGCGGGTGCAGCTTTTACATTAGTGCGCAGCACTTATGGCACAGCTACCAGAGTCCGTATTCGCAGTCATTCAGTCGAAAGAGGGCGACGTATCAAGGAGATGCTGAGGGTCGAGGAGGCGAGATAACAAGGCGGAGATGGGATAACTTAGGTCAATGGAGGGTCCTTCCAGGGATCCCCGATTGCTAGCGGAGGCGATGAGTAAGGTCGAACGGAGCCGATTCTCTTGGTGTTTAAATAATGAACGTATTCATGCCCTGCTTTGTGGCTGGCGATCGTGAGAGAGAATATATCTCAGCGGTCGTGGCATGGATTATGCTTCGTCGTGGGATATGATTGAGGTGGTCGTTCTAACTCAGGACAAGGTTGCTGGCTCCTGGCCCACCGAAGCCTACATGGACAGGTAACTACCTAGGTGTAGCCAATGCTAGATACCTAGGTACCGAGTAAGGTACGGAGTACCTACTTAGGATTAGGGAGTATCCTAAGTAATGGGGCCAAGGTGGCACTCAATTACAGCCCGGTATCATGGAGGCCAGACCTTCACGGGCTTTGCACGGCCTGGACCGAAGCGATGCAAGCGGCATTGACTCGATCAATTCCAGTTCCAGCTCTTCATTCCAATCATTCCAATACAAGCTTTTTCACTGACTGATTTCTATGCTGGGGTTTGTTGCTCAAGACGACATGTTGTGCCCCAATCAGATAATTTTAGCATGCATACATAACCAAAGCCCTTCCAATTAGCGAGTAATGGACTCGCTTTAGGTTGTACTGAATGCGTTGTCGATTTTGGGGGCCGCGTGGAGGATGAATCCCCCGACCCACGTCCACCTTTTTGCGCTCAAGATTGGCTGATGTTTCTTGCCTAGCGTCACGGATCACAATAAACCCCACTGACCATGGTGACTTTGGCCCCTGAGAGCGGCGTCAAGTCCCTGAAAACCCTTCCAGAAGGCATCCACAGGCTGGGACTGGGACCCGGGGCAGGCTACCATTAGAAACGACTACATCGTCATTGACGACTCCATGTCCCATAAGTATTGGGGGAGGGTATATACGATTTGCGCACGTAGTGAACTCCTAGATGGGTATAAATAGTTCTTTCAATATGAAGTTAAGAATATAGCGCCTTTGACAATAATAATCCTCTATCATTGCTGCTTCTGTCTTCGTTATCCTCAAAGCATACCACATCCAGTTAAATACCCTTTCAATATAATCTTGCCTGGTTTATGTGACCTCCATTTCTACCGATGATCTTCTGTGCACCATATAGCTATGATAGTGCCTGGCATCTGCTATTGTCTTCGACAACAGGGTCCAATTATTCGTCATGTTTTGTCTCAGCGGCGCCGTGACAAAACCCGTTCCCTGGCTCCATATCACAAATTTGAGGTTTATCAGAGATCGTGTTCAAGACATGCCCTTTTCCTCAACCACCTAGACAAACCGCCAAGTGCAAGGAATAGTCATCACGTGGTCATCGGCCCAGCTTTTCTCAAAGGCATGAGTTTGTTTACTGCTCGTTTTCATCCAGAACAACTGCAACATCGGTGACGGCCACCTCAAGTCGATCTGTCCCAATTATTCATTTTTCAGCCAAGGGGCATGTCAAGGTTAATATGATTAGCGTCGGTCCCGTTGATGCCAAAGAATTGGAACCTGAGACATCATTAGCCCGTGCAATATAAACGCGGTATTTCATGACTTACCAGTCTTCGACATTTAGTGTTGTTGGCACCGCTTGCCCTGGTCCCGAGGCAGTGCTCCAACTGTCTGGGCTCTGTCCTTCTGGCAAATTCGGATCCATGTTTGGCTGCCACATATTCGAATGTCCCTGAAAACCTTGGGGCATCATCCCATTCCCTCGTTGTTGATAATGTCCTGATTGTTGGTTATGCATCCCGCCTTGTCCGTTGTTCGGAGGTACTGAGCCCATTGCATTGTGATCGAGATTGGAGTGTGTTTGTGTTGGTGACAGGTTAGGGAAAGCTGGCATGGCAGCACTATCTGGGAACAACTGGTCAGGCTGGAAGTTTTCCCAAAGGGACTGTGATAAGTTTGGAGAATTCCTCGTAACAAGATAGAGGTCAGGAGGTGTTGGTGGTACAGAGAATGATGGGTTGAAGGGTGTTGCTGGCCGAGTTTGCGGGCGCGAGTTCGTCCCCCCCATGAACGTATCTGCGGCACTCTGTCGCGCATTAGGTGACGTGACTGGTGGCGGCTGCATCGTGCTTCCCGATTCGACCTTGACAGCACTCGGAGTCTGGGGGCGCGACCTCTCATACGATTCTTGAGGCTGAGGAGTAGTGGTGCCGAAGTCGATGGCCATGTCGTCGTACTTCCGCTTCGGCGCCTCGGCCTGTCGATTTTGTTGCTGTTCAAGATGCGAGAGACTTTGGCGCAAGTTCCGGTGTCGCTTACCCTCAGCCCTTTGTAGCCGCTCTTCCAGTACCTTATTACCCATGATGGACTCGAAAAGAGCATAAACCATCTTGCCAACAAGCCAAACTCGCGAGATCTCCTTCATGGCCGACATGCAGCTGCGCAGTCTATCTTGTGTCACCTGCTGGATCGATGGCACTGGAGACTTCATCTGATAGACGTGCATGATGAGAGCAGAAAATAGACTATACACAACAAAGGCTGGACAATATCGCAGCTGGTCATGTGCGGCGAGGTTTTCTACGATCGATGTGATCATAGCTGCCGCCTGAAAAGCGATATTACGTGAGGGGTAAGGTGAAGGGTCAGGCAATCGTGATGAGCCACCGGGCGGCATATGGGCTCGATGAAGAAGGCATAGCGTTGTATAGTAATTCGAGTGTAATAACGCGGACCAGAAATGATGACGAGGCATCTCCCAATAGACAATTTTTGGGCAATTTTGTAGCCAGTCAGCTAAAGCCATGTCGCTGTGTGTGAGGTCGATAGCATTTCGTTGTCTTCCTTTTGATGCCACGGAGTACTGCTGTGATAGAACCAGGCCCATGATTTCGCACAGTTTGACGTATTCGAGAAAAAACTGCACGTGGATGGGATCAGGAGGATACTCGCTTGCTCGATCAATCTCGTCCTCAATAAAGTCGTCTTCAGTCAACATCTCCACATCTGCATCGTCAAGATTGATGTGAACTGGGCGACCCAGAGCAACTGCAACCGAGCGATCGCGGGTGAAGAGGGACCACCATATGCGCTTCCACAGCCTTTTGTCTGCCCGGCTTAGTTGTGACTGTTCCACGGATCGATGCATGCCTGAGCCTTGCGCAACAATCGTCGCCACACGACTCCAATAGAAGACATTTTTAGTGACGTCTTCTGGCCCTTCCCAGTACCAGCCCATCAAAAGGAGAGATTGAACAATTGTCACACGATCGTCTTCATAGTTTGCGTCGTACAAGGCCTTGGCACGTTTGTAGAAAGTGAGAGCAGCAGGAGTCGTTGAACCGTTGGCATCCATCAGCTGTGGGTTGTTACAGGCCCGAGTACCCGCCAGAAGAACGGATTGAAGAAGAAGTAACGACGGTGGGTTCTTAGGGTCTCGATACTGTCGCATGAAGCGGGTACGGTTGATGACGGGTACGATGGGATGCACCCATTTGAAGTAAGCGTCGATGAGCTCGTCGCATAGCGATCGTGGAGGCAGTAGAAACGCCCCTCTTTGATGTAGGATATCGATTTCGACGTTGTCGAGTTCAGTAAGTCGAGCTCGAGAGCCGCGGACGTTCTCAGGCAGTGGATAATGCACAACATCTGCTGAGCCTTGGCGATCATGGACAAGTAGAGTCAGATTGGAGGATTCGCCAAGGTATGCAACCCGTCCAGCTTCGGTAATGGGAGCGCGTGTAAACTTGGGTTTCATTACAAGGTCAAGATAGGTCCCACTGTCGACCTCTTCTTTACGTGCTTGAGCTTCCGTCCAGTTGGTGGGAGGTGTGCCATTGTTGGAATGATATACCGAAGGAGCTCGCGGGGTGAGTGATGAGGTGCTCGAAGGGGCCACAGGGCGCGGTGAAGGGTCTTCATTTGCATCGCCGCGATCGCTACATATCACGAAGCCTCTGGTCAGCGCTGAGGATCGAGTAACGATTGGGGGCGCATTCTCATACCTATCGGAGTCTTTATTGGTTTGGCTGCCCGAGCCCTGTGTCTTTTTGCGCTTCGGATTCGGGATACGACACTCGATCTGGAAGGCAACGCAATTGGTGCAGGGCACACCGAGGCTTGCGGCGTCGCATCGAACCTGCAGAATATGATGGTTAATGTTGCTGTCGGTGGTGAAGTCGAGAACCAATTGGGTCGCTCTGGACTCCTATAAGCGAATGTTTGCATTTACCTTTCTAGCATGGCAAGTCTGTGGAAGCGTTGATTAGCATCATGGTCTTAACTCTTTTCTCAAGAAGAAGATCATCTGTACAGCTGTCGCGGATGCCGTGATAAGAATCATGATGAAGTGGGCTGGAGCGCGCCAATGCCTCGGCTCATGTTGAGGGGGGCAGGCTCTCATGGGTGACTAGGTTCGGAAGAAGTCTTAAATGTGCTTACCTCGCATGCACGCGATGCTCGCTGTCTTTTAAAAGAACGAGTTTAGTACTTGCAACATCATATCGAGTATAGAACGGCGACTCACCTTCGAAAACTCACTCCGCCCGCGGAAGTCGATGTTGAGGTGCTTGGAGCGGGAGGAGCTGGTGCCGACGACTGTGACTCTGGCTGCTGCTGCTGCTGCTGCTGCTGCTGCTGCTGCTGCTGCTGTGGTTGCGCCTGCGGCGTGCCGCTGCCTGACGACATGTCCACGTCCATGGAATCGGAAATGTCGGGGGCGAGGAATTGAAGCGGAAGCGGAAGCGATCGAGAGACGTCAAAGTCGGTTTCGAAGAGGGGGACAGGACGGGATGGTCGAGTTGAGAAGGCAGTCAAGGTAGGAAGGTAACGTTAAGGCAAAGCAGAGC